ACATCAAAAAAAGTAATAATAAAAGCAGCCGGCAGCAGCCGCTCAAATGGCCAAAAGCCAAGCGAAATATGCGAATTTGTTGGCCGTGTTTTGATTTCTTTTACAAGCCGCCGCTGGGCCCTGGGCAACTAAAGCGAAGAGCCACTCTTGAAGGGATCGAGGCGTCAATATGCAAATTGCTATAAATACAAAAATATAAGACTGAGCGAAAAAACAACAACAAAAGCAATAGACAACAAAATAAATAGACAGATAAGCTGGCAAAAACAATAGCCAAAGATGGTCAAGTGTTTGATTAATTGACTGCAAAAATAATTATTATAATTTATGCAAATTTAATGTGAGACGCGCCTGCTAATGGGACAAAGCGGCGTATGCGTAACGCGATAACGGTTTAACAACTTGTTGAAGCATTTACTAGTTGCTAACTTGATGGAATGAATGGGACAGGGAACAGGAAGGAGAAACATGAAACTGTCTGGCAATGCCCAGTGCAGTGTCAATCAGATGGCAACGCCTATTAAATTATTTATATTTTGTATTCATAAATGTATATTAATAAATGTAATAAACAAAAGATACCTAAAATATAAATCTCAATAAAATTTTAAATATAATAATAATTAATAATTAAATTATATACTTTAAACTATTTTTATAAAGGTTTTTGTTATTTTTTAGTTAAGACACTTTACATATTTAAATATTAAAATTAAAATATCTAACATATAAATATAAGTAAAATTTTAAAATAATAATAAAATCAAATGTTAAATTATAAACCTTAATAAAATTTTTAATGACATTTTTTTTTTTAGTTAACACATTTTCCATTTTTAAATATTAAATAATAACAAATATTTAAAATATTAATATTAATAAAATTATTAAAAATAATAATAATTAATAATTAAAGTAAATATTTTAATAATTCTTTTAAATTCTTTTTTAATTTTAGATAAGACGTTTCACATATTTTATTATAAAATAATAAAAAATACCTGAAGTTTAATTATTAATAAAATTTAAAAAATAATAATAAAATATATATACAAATATTTTATACTTTAACAATTTTTTTTTTATTTAATTTTAATTTTAATTTTTTTTTTTTGCAGTTTACACTTTTTACATATTTAAATATACTTCACTTATTGCTGAGCTATAATTTGTTCAATTTAGGAATTAACCATCCTACACAGACTTCTATTTTACTTCTCTCATTTAGACTCTGATGTTTACTGTTCAGCAAATCTCTTTCAATAGAACATCAAATATTATATGATATGTGATATGGCAATATCATACCAAAATCAACTCGTATTACCCCACTTTACTCGCCTCTTATCAAGCCATAACAAATAAATTTTAGCCTCCTATCAAAAGCGTCAATTTGAGTGCAATTTGAGTTCAATATCATTTAATTAGCTTAAATCAAGTGTGCCGTTTAAGCCAACACATTCACATTCCTTTTGGGTTGTTTACTTTTTCAAGTGCCTTCCCAATGCTGAGCAAATTCTTATCGGCTGCTGCTGCTGTTGCTGCTGTTGTTGTTGCTGTTGAGAACTGCGCTTGCTGCCACAATCCAATTAACCTTTTGACATTTGCGACAGGCAGCA